GCAGTTGGTATTAGTTTATGCTTTACAGAAGTGCTTTACCCTTCATCTCCTAATTCTTTGACACTAATGTTTTTTAAAAGCAAAAGTTGGAAGTAAAAGTTCCAGACAAGTCTTCTACTCCTCCAGCTCTTTATCATTTACATTTGGCATTTAAGCTAGTCATTGTACAGTTCCAACTGGTCAAAGCATTACACAAGTGTTTAAACCCTTTACTTCCAAAGAGGTTCCAACTGAAGTTTAATTTGATCAATTTGCATTTGTATGTGGCAGTGCTAGTTAGCACTTTATACTTGCCATGTATATTATCCCTTCATTTCCTAGCTAATTGTGACTGATGTTTAAGCTAATTAATTTACAGTCAAGACGGGTTAGCATGTTACACAAGGGAATTATTCCTAAATAATGCCTAACCAATTATCAAAGCTGGTTAAATTGGAATGAATACTGATCCGTACTTCAAACAGGTGTTTCAGTCCATGATGTTCTATAATCCAAGGTGAAGCTGTTAAGATCACATCTGATAAATGTGTGAAGAACTTGAGTACAGGGTTTACTCTGCAATCAAGTTGTTCACACCTTCATCAGATATTCAACTCCAAGAAATGATTAATGAGGTCACTTCCACTGCTAGTGACTGCTTTACACAGAATCACCTAATCTGTAATTTTGTTGGCCATGCAATCAAATCTCCTTGCTCTCATCCCCCTTTAAATGATAGTAGTTCCCTAGCAGTTTATATCAAGAAAGCTTATCCATAAAAAAGCAGCAGCACCTAGCTTCCATACACCTTCTCTTATGTGAATTGCGAGGAAAGTTTCCAATTTGTATTTATCCATCATCTCAAAATTCCTCCAAGGCACAAGGTGATTAGAAGTTTAAAAGCTTAACAAAAACTAAGAAAATATTCATCTTTGAATTGAAAATATAACTAGGCAAGGAAAGTGATGTGTTTGGTGGCGATGCAATTCCAACCTTCTTACACTGGCTCCACACATGCAAAGAGAGTACATTTTGTTTGGACAAAGGTGTGATCGCAAACTGTTCCTCTTGTCTGCCATGGCTCACACCACAAATTGAGTGCCCAGACTTTGACATGAGGTAGCAAGGTATCATCAGCTTGTACCTAAAAACAGTTTATAAAACATCAGTGCATGGGGCTGGTGGGTGGTGGACTTAAACACCCAAACTTCATTGTGTTGTATAATAACTCTAACTCAAACAGAAAACTTTTTGTTTCTTAAAACTGTACATATGAATCGACAATGTACCCCTAGATTTTCCTGACAAGTGTAGAAATTAAAAGCGATTTCATACTATACTTAACACGTAAACACCGTCAGCTGTGAAGTGAATTGCTTGGCAATTCTAAACGAAGAAATAATACTTGTAAAAGGTTGGAATGAAGCATTTGGTACTAATTTTATAGAAATTTTAAGTGATACGTATAAAGGTCAATTGTTTGTGTCAAAACTTACATGTATATATACACAAATGAATACATTAGGCTGCTTCAAAGTTTGGTTTTGGAATCTTGACCTATTGTTTACTTATTTCAAGTCAAAGTAAATCAGTAGGTAAAAGAGAACTCAAGATGAGTCATCAGAAAAATTAAGGATTTCCCTATTCAACCATAATTATTAATAGTAATATAAGAGAAGGTTGACGGGAACCTGATAAATCTGACCAGTTCAAAGCTCAGATGCCTTCCTTTGGTTGGTGGCTGTTTAGAGACTCCATTTCAACATCATGTTAAGTTGGTTTAATTTCCCACAGTTCCTATTAAGAATGCAATGATGATTAATCATGACATAAATAAGCAAAAAAGACAAAAGAAGGAGACAAAATTAAGACACATCAAAAGAGAAAACAAAATAAAAAAAGAAATAAAAAAGGATTTATCAGGAAAGCAACAGTGATCAAAGTTGACAATGTGGCAGAGCTCATGGATTATATTATCAATCTGAGAAGCAGAGAGATAGAGAAAGGAATGAGGCAGAAGAGAAGAAAAGAACCAAATCAAAACAAAACAAGTTAGAGATAAAAATAAGAAAAAAAAGGGTAAAAAATAACAGAAAACAAGCCAACAAATAATAAAGAAACAAACCAGAAAGAAATGAGTTAAGAGAGAGGATCGAAGGAGAGAGGAAAAAGGCTTTTTAAATATCATTCCTGTTTAGGAGGCACTCAAACAACAAAACAACAACAAAAACAAACAAACCAATACACAAACAAAATCAGTTCAACGCATACCAGCTCCTTCACTCTCTCATACTGTAAGTACTTAGGAAATTCCATAGAGAGTTTCCTTGCTGTTAGTGTTTTCTGCTTATTCTCCAGTTCATTTATTCTCTCAATAAAATGGGAGTAAGCTGGACAGGTTACAGCAAGATCTTTCAGGGTAAAATTCAATCTGAAAATGTCAGTAGAGTTAAGGTGTTATAGTTAGTGGGGGCAATGAAAAATTATGTTAACCCAGAGAGGTAACCAATAACTGAACCATCTGTACTTTTATTTACCACAAAATACAAATGATAGTTTTTTTCACTGCAAAATGCAAATAATGATATAAAAAAGACAGTCACAAAAAAACAAATAAAACAGAGCACATCTGATTTCCTGTTTCTTACTCAGTTTATCCAACTCACCGCTTCTCCATTGTCAAATAAAGGACTATGTCTGGCTTTTGTTCAAAAAGATGTAAGACTGTTTCAATGAAAGCATCAGTTAAGGAATCATCGTAAATCACTGAGAACAAATAAGGGAAATTGAACGTAAGAAATTGGAAAATCAAATGAACTTCTTTCCCTACCAGTGTGACCCAAATAGAGAATGAAAGAAAAGTAATACAAGTTGATTATTATCATTATTATTATTATTATTATTACAATATTACAAAAAATATGCACTGCCCACAGTTAGCAAAGGCTAGTCGAGGTGGGCAGTGTTTAATAGTTTTACAAAAAAAAGACTTACAGAGCAAGAGATTCAAAATTCTAGACAAATTACAACTACATTAATACATTAAAGATATGGCAAGAGAACAGAACAAGCTGGGGTCTTATAGTTTTGCTATTAAAGAAGACAAATCAATATAATCGTCATATTTTTTGAGTCTCTGGAGAAGGAAATCATGTATTTTACTTTTCAAATTGTATTTTGAAAGCCGGCGCACTTCACAAGACAAGCTATTCCAGATTCTAACACCATTTCTTGAAAATAGCCTTTTTTGTATATCTAATCTTGAAGTTTCAACAAAATAGTAGCCTCTCTAATAACTAACCCTTAGGAACTAAAGATCACTTCCAAGACTAACCATCTGCCGCTAACACAACAGAGATGCCTTTAAACATTTTCTGATCTTCCATTGTCCAACAGAAAGGATCATTCTCTGTAACGCAACAAAAATATTAACTGAGTGAAAATTTACTATTGACTGATCACACCCAACTCTACTACATTTTGAGTCTCCCCCTTGAAGAAGAAGAAGAGGGAAGCGAGCTGCTTGTTTTGTGAAATGCCTGGTCATGATGATAAATAAATAAATTAAATAAGTTTTAATTAGTTGTATAGCCCTATTTACATGTACAGATCAATAGTGCTTTACACTGAATAAAAATTAAAATAAAAATGATGGATTTTTAAGCATAGGATAGCTGGGCAGAGAAACAATTTTTTAACTGCTCTCCCTTTCTATAATCAAGAAATGGATAGATATTCTAGTATTCTCGGATAAGGACGAATAAACCGTAGGTCCCGTCTCCTGCAGGGTTGGGGTAGGAGACGTTAATTTCCCACGCACAAGATTACTGTGTGGTGGATGTCCTCCCCTGGGGTGGGATGGGTGGGTGTTGGCCCTGAAAAGCAACTATGGGGAGTGGTCAATTAACCTATGTATGTATGTAGGTATGTATTTATGTAAGACACTTAACCCCATCATGTTTTATTTCTGGTGCAAAGGAAAACCTTGTTACAAAAACAGTCCCAAGGTCACAGGTCAACAGAGATTTAGCCAAAATTTGTATCTATATCATCATATAAAAAGTAGATGAAAGAAAAACCAAATGAATGCAATCCAAATGAAAAACCCATGTGCAATCCTGATTTACTTTATCTTTGCCCCTCCTTACCAGTGGGTAATCCTTTTTTCTCCCAGTCCAATTCATGAACTGTAACAGCTTCACTGCCTGGGATAAAAAAAATTTCAAGGACAATTTGGTTTTATAAACTGCATTGAAAATGTAAATTGGCTACCATAAAGAGTTTCTAAAGCTGACACTTCAAGCAATAGCTCTACTGATGAAGGCCTAAGCTCATATCACTTTAAAATGTGAATGTCAGCCAACTTAGCTTTCTTTCTCGGCATGACTGAGAAGAATTTGAGGTATTGACAGCTGAACAACAAGATTTCCTTCGGATGATAATTATAATCTTTACAACATCAATGGTGTGCATTACAAGTTAAACAAACATGTCAAAATGACAGGAAATTTTGACAAACTTATTCATGCCTCATTATCATGTCCTCACACAAAGAAAATGTGACCCAAACAGAAGGTTTAGATCACATAGAAAATGTAAAAAAGAAGGTAATCAACAAAGCATAAGTCCAACAGAGCATGACTGTCTTTGCTTCAATCACTTTATATTAATCACTAACCATATCTGAAAAGATGAGAATTAGCTGCTATGTTTGCTTTGCAGTTGCCGAGAATGGTGTCTCCCACATCTAAAAATTATAAAATTACATTAACATTAGACCAGTATTAAAAATGTTATAGTGGAGCTCGCAGAGCGTAGCCCCATAATCATACAAAATGGTAGTAGTGACTCGTCAAGCTTAAAAAATTTGGACTTATGACCGTATGGGCATCTGTACAAGGTGCTACTCTTAGCAAGCACAGTCAACTGTACTACAGGCACGACAATGCCAAGGCTTTGTCCAGTAGTCCAGTGGTCAGTGCACTGGGCTCTGAGAGGGAGGACCTGGGTTCTAGTCCTGGCTGGGGCAAGGCATTGTGCCCTTGAGATGTGTGGGGAAAAAAAAATGGGAGCTCTGCTTTTAGGTTTTAAGTAGTTCTATTGGTCAGCTGTGTTCATTGGTCTATGAAGCACTAGGGCAGTTTGAAGAACCCTCACAAAGATGATTAAATTCTCCATATTTTCTCTCATGCACATGTTACACGTGTGTAAATTTTACATGAACTATAAACTAAAATGAAATAATTATGGAATCCAATTTGAGTTACTATTGTTCTGGACTCACTAACCTCTCACATATGTGATAGTCCTTTTGTGTTTCCACATGAAGACAAGACTAGTGAGCCCAGAACAATGGCAATTCAAATTGGATGCCATATTTCAATTCAGAGTACTACAAGCACCTCTATTACAGACAATCTGTGTGCAATTTGACTTAAATAAAAATTGCCATGCTATGCCATGTGTATGCTTCATACCTTGATGAAAACTCACCAATAGTTAAACATACTGATTCCTGTTGACCTTACTTCAGCTTCTTCAATTAGCAACACATCAGTAACACTGTACCTGTGCAAAATATTCTCTTTGCCACTCTTCCCAATATGATGCTACATAAACCAAGCCCTGCTCCAAGCTCCAACCCAAAACATCCATCATATCTGATTGGAATAACATGTATTTCACTGATAATTGTGCTGCAATTTACAATAAAAATCAAAAGACAGAAAAGGTACTAGGGAACTTAAGCAGTCACGACGGCAACGCCATGGAAGACGTCGATTAAAAAATGAGTTTCTACTTTTAGTTAGAATTTCGAAAATGGCTACATGTGTTTACCGTCTCATAGGGCACCAGACCTCAAGCTCAACATAACACATAAAAGTAGCGTTGAGTTCCAAATGTAAATTAAAATAATTTGCCGACGCAGTTTTGGTTTGCAAACGACGCAAATTTTGGGGATTTCACGTTGTTGTTCTGCAAAGGACGGCTAAGAAATGTACAAAGTTTTAAAACGCACGTGCTGGGCTATTGTTCTGCCAATTAGATCTATTGTTTTTCCACATTCTCGTTACCGTCGCCATCGTGGTTTGCTTAAATTCCCTAACATTTCACATGTTATAGTTACACCATGACACAATTAAAAGAAATTTATTGAACAATTTGTCAATTAATTTTTTTTTAATTGTTTTCTGACAATGCTTTGGCCTTGAAAATGTCATATTGACTGGTACTTGAAAACATATAATTATTACATGACTCGGGCAGTCAGAGGGCCAATAACTAAAATCAACCAATCAAAATGCTCTATTGCCGGTCCAATATTCTCTAAGTATTAGACCAGGCACTGTCCCGAATGGTCCCGAATGATACCGCACTTGTGTCCCTTTGAACTTCAGTCGTATAATAAATCTCTTATTAACCAAGCTCGCTCGGGACCGAACTGGAAGAATATCGGCCCTTGGTCTTTTTTGTATGGACCAAGCTGTGCCTGGTCCATACTGTCAAGACCTCGGGCCAATATTCTCCCAGTATGGCCCTCGCGCTTGGTTAATAAGATATATTTATACTGTAGGAACACAACTCACCTTTCTTCATTGTAAATCAAGAAATCACTTAACAGGAGAGCCCCTCTCCAAACCTGGCAGGAACCAAGAACATGAAAGAGAAATAATTCATGTCACCTGAAATCATTCTAAAAAAAAATAAATATTAAATAAAATTTAAAAATCTGAGAACAACTAAACAAAATAATAATAACAAAACAAAATAATAATAACAAAACAAAATAATAATAACAAAACAAAATAATAACAAAACAAAATAATAATAACAAAACAAAATAATAATAACAAAAACTACTGTATAAAAAAAGAAAACAATCAAACCAACACAAAATTTTCAAGCAATTTTAAAGGCATCCCACTTAAAAATATAATCATATTTATTGCTCAATTTGGGAGAATTAAGATAATGGGGGTGTGCCTTTATATCTTTTGATTCAACTTTCATGACCACATCTTTGAGATTTTTTCTTTCATAAATATCAAAATCTGGGTATGAGACCCAAATCAAAAATTTCTTAAGTACATGTATTCAACCTTTTATAATTTACATGTAAATTTATTCAAATGAATAAAGAATTAGACCTTAATTAGCTTGTTATTCAGTATTGTGGATATATCACAGAAATTCGAAAAACAGTACCTGTAGCCCTACATCTTTAATCCCAGTGGAAAGAGAATGTTCTGGTGTACATGTGAAATAAAGCAGACAGAGAAAGAGACTTTAAAGGTTTATAATATATGGCTATGTCTCACAAGGACTGGGAACTACTGAATTCATGAATTTGATTGGCTGAAATCAATACTGAAAGCAGTCTAAATTTTTCCATCTAGACCGACATCTAGACTGGTCTAGAAAAAAAAGGTACAAAGAATATAAAAAATTGGCATATAGGACACAGCCATATAATAACATCTTATTAACTGAGCTAGGTTGGTCTGCATGGGAGAATCTTGACCTCGGTCGCTGGTACAGACCTCAATGCGTTCGGTCTGTACTGGCGACCTTGGTCAAGATTCTCTCATACAGACCTCCCACTTGGTTAATAAGAACTAAGTACATGTGGTGGAAGTGTAGTATAAAGATAATCTAATATATGGTAGCCTGATGGCTACTCCAATATAGAAACTGAATTTGAAAAAAAAGGCAAACTTATGGATGAACATGTTTATATGCAGAGTGTAGAGTATTCATGGCTCAAGTGATTGCTCTCATTCCTCTAATTCAACTGTATTTTATTCAATAATCCACAAAGTATATTTGCTATACAATACTTGTAATTAGTTATTTTACTTTTACTTACATAGGAAAGTAGACATACTACATGACTGAGTAACAAGAAGTTCTTTACAGAGGTGACTCTAAGTAACACAATAAATTACACAAAGACAAGGCTAAACTAGATCTTCAAGTTTGAAATTTACACAAGGACATGGACATGAGCATGTTGTGGTTTATCCTTTTCTTACCAGTTTAATTTGTATTTTTTGTCCTATGAATAGGATAATAAAATATGATGATTTGAGACAAATTAAAACTGGCTAAAAGAAAATCTTTAACCACAGAAAAAAGGGAACAAAACATAATTTTTTGACAATTTGACAAGATTAGCTATGTACCTATTGTAATGACTTCACAGTCATCTCTTGCAGAGAACTTTCTTGGAGGTGACAAATCTCCATCTTCATCAGTTTCACAACAACCCATGGAATCACTTCTCCCTTCCATCTTATTGGCACAGGTATTCTCTGGGGACTTGTATATTGTAAACCTGGTAAATGCTGTCAAAGGAATTGCTTGAGAATTAAGCTGTGTATCACAAATAATATTATTTTGTATTTCTACACTTGTGCTTGACCATTCTCTTCCCTGAGTATCAGATACAGGAGCTCATGCTGGTAGGATCTCCTCATTCTCAAACCATGTGTTTCCCATTTGGTTCTCTTTCATGAGCACCTTGTAAATTTTTGGTCTCCTAAAATTCCCACTTTTCTACCCAATCCACTCCTATCCATTGCTCCCTTCTGTCCTATACTCTCCCAAACTGCCACCAATGCCCCTCTTCTTCACCCATTCCCTCCCCCCCCACCCTTCCAACCTTGCTAGAAATTCAATTTCTTGGGCAAACATTAGAAAGCCAGAGATATCTTCAGCAAAGACATGGTTATGTATGATGCAAGATCCTCACAGTAGAGAGCGCTATTTATGCAATAGCAAAAATCAGACCTGAAAAAATCAGGCCTGTACGGGATTCGAACCACTGACCTCTGCGATACAAGTGCAGCGCTCTACCAATTGAGCTAACAAGCCAACTGGGAGCAGGCCGTTAAGTTGATTCGTAATAAACCCGTGATGATAAATCAGATACAATGTATATATGAAGTTCATATATTTTGAAGTGGGAGAAGTGTTAATATAATTGATGAGAAACTTTAAAATCTTGCCCCATGCACGAAATCTCCAAGGAAGTTTTGCTCTGGCATCAAAGACTTCCCTTTCCTCTGTCGATGCGAAAAAATTTCCTCAGCTCTGATGGTGTAACAATGTAGAAAAAGAAAAAAAACCGAGACAGCATTGTGTAAAGTGAAATGGAAGTCTCTTCGAGAGCGACTTCGATCATATTTAATTTGATCTGATCTCTGGATTGACCCCTGATCGATCTTTTTNAGTAGAAAAAGCCCGAAGTGGAAATCTTACTAAGATCTTACTAATAAGGTGACTGTTTATCTAAGAATCAAGCTCCAGTAACCAGGAATACCTTTCTGTAGAAAATACCAGAACCCTTAATTCACACAAATTCGGAATCGTGAGGAAAGTCACGACGGCCAAAATTAGGTCCAATGACTAGATGTTTTCACCCAAACTGATACGATTACAGTGCACCGCGACGGGTAGACACATGCAGGTAGCAGCCACAAGACGAAGACCTAAAGCAATTCGTGAGATTTTCCTTCCACTCTCTTACCCCTTCCTCTGATTCCAAAGTTGTCTCAATTGCATTTTTTCTTTTACCACGAAGCTGTAATCACCACGATCGCTCTGAATAGATTGGCTGTTTTCATGACATTTGCGGAGCCAATCGTCTGACACCGGGTTACACCCTTGAGACTTTATCCTCTCTTGTCTAACTTATGCCATTGATTTGGAAGAAAATTCGAAGCGACAGTCAATTCTTGCTTATATACTCAAGCCCTACCTTTGCTGTTTTCCTCTATTTGGAAAAATGGTGTAAAAAGATGCACATCTGACGAAATCATCTCCTCTTCAGCGGCCATCTTGAAATGCAACAAGCCGGCTTTCAAGCTTTCGTGTAGCCTTACATACCGTAGTAGTTGCCGAAAACTGTCATGGCGAACCGTTTCGGAACGTAAAATGAATCTTTCTCAACAAATTCTCGCATTGGATGCTCGATACAATGCGTATCGGGTTCCAAACAACCCTTCATACCGTAAGTATTATTTAGCAGTAACAAGGCTTTTAGTACACGAGCTGTTTTAGATTGGTTGCTGAAAAGGTGGACGTCAGAACTGATGACTTAAAACAGTTGATTGAAGCATACATATGTATGCCTATTTGTTGTAGGTACCTTGTACATAAGGAGGAGAAATCAGCTACTGCGGGAAAACGCCAAAAAAGAAGTGAGGAACTCAGCTTTAGTCACAATTTTTTAAATCATTGTTGGCAAAGAGGGAACGTCAAATGCAAAGAGTAATTACATAGCCTTGAAATGGCCTTTAGCATCCACTTCCTGTGAGCTTCCGCTTTTCCAGAGAACACCAAATTCATTCCCGTGACTGGAATCACTTACCCTAGGGAATCGAATTAATTGCTACAAACCAGTTCTTGTTAGCAGCCAATTTTAGAGGCCTTGTATTTTACTTCGCATTTCACTGTTAATGAAATCAATATGAATTTATACGAGAGCGATCTTCGCAAGAATGGACACTACAAGCATTAGTGAAAATAAGGCCTGAAAAAAATTCAGGCGTGTACAGGATTTGAACCTATGAACTCTTCACTAAAGGTGCAGTGCTTTACCAACTGAGATGACTAGCAAACTAAGGGAGCTGGTCATTTTGTTGGTTTTTAATAAATCTGTGAAATGTGAGCCAAAAATGAGAGCTGTCTTTGAAGTAAGGAACACAATGTAAGAAGAAGTGAAATACTAGGCCTGGAAAAAATTCTGTACAAGATTTGCCCCTATAACCACTATTGTTATCATTCCAAATACCACCCTTCCCCCAAACACACACTCACACCCTCTCCATGTGGTGCATATTTTCCCCTCCCCCCCCAGCCTTCTGAGATACAAACAATACACAAATGTAAAATGTCTAATTCCTGCCCACTTCTCTCCCCAGAACTGTATGAGCACTTACTGGTAATTATGTTCAGTGCACATTTCCTTATTTTCTTTGATATTTTAAGGATATAAAGCAATGTTGTTGCTATGGTTGTCATGCAGAAATTGGACCATTCTTCCCGCAGACAGTATCTTTCCCTGCGAAGACAACTGTTGTCAAAAAGATATGGTCCATCTGAGTCATCACTTTCAAGGTTAGAACTTTGCCTAATGGCAGTCTCCAAAGTTACAAGTTATATTTAATTTAGTAATTAAATATTGAATATGAGTTTAATTGGAAATAATTTTCTGAAACTCTTTGATCAGCTTTTACTTAATTGTACCCTGAAGTAACCCTGCTTTTTTTTTCTTTTCATTTTGTAGAAGTAGAAGTGCAAGCACCTACAGCAAACTGAGTTCCTTTGAGGTTTGTTTGATGACTAGATTTACAATAAAGGACTTGTTAATTGAAGACAAGTTCAAATTGTGTTAAATTCTGGACATTTCTGTGTAATCCTATAGCTGTGTGCAAATTATCATGTTTCTATAAATTGAAATTATAGATTTCCAGATCAAGTCTATATATGTTCTGTGATTATCACCATGTGTAATATCTTATAGGCTAGCTGCTCTAAAGGCATATAAAGAAGTAGGAAAAGGCTTTAACATGACACGATGGAAACTGTGCACACTGTAAGAACCTCTGGTTGTCCCTTACAAATCCTTAGAAGAGGTTTCTAATGATTTATAAGGGATAATGGGAGGTACTTACAGTGCCTATGGTTTCTGTCCCATCATGAGTTCAATAAGCTTTTTGCAATTTGTCAGTCAGAGGCTTTTTAACAAATGGTAAACACCACAGCGTACACTATTGAGTTATGGATGCGCGCAGGAGGTTGCTAAGCACGAAAGAAGCGTAAGAGTCGCTCGAGGTGATAGCCGAGAGTGACTCTAGCTTCTTGAGTGCTTAGCAAACCTCCCAAGTGCATCCATAACTCAATAGTGTACGCTGTGGTGTTTACCATTTGTTTTATAACATAACATTGATACATTGTAGCTTAAGAGTTCCCTTTTATTTAACAAATCTTACGTGACCAGAAAAAACAAGCGCACGTGGAAAAATAGTCTTTGCATTTGCTCACATCAGCAGTGTACACCCATGGGCAAATGGGGGACGCTAAATTGACCAATCAGAGCGCGGGCTTTACTTTGGTTATGTTATAATTTAAATTGTTGCCCTTTTCTAGCACCAATGGTCCTTTGGTGCATACATGTGTAAATTATGCAGGTGTCACTATATAGGCAAAATTATTATTTCTTAAAATTTAAAACAATTAAGTGCTTCTTAAATACTCTTCCAGGCAAGTTTTGATTCCTTGCACATTGATCCATCTGAAGGGGGGCATTCACCTGGCAAGCCTTCGCATCGGCGTTACCACAGTGCAGGCTCCTTTAAGTTCTTACCTCAAGCTGATATTCCAGAATCACCTCCAAGGGGTGTGGTACCCACTCGTAAGGCAGAAGCCAGCAGGTACATTTCCTAAACCCATAGTTAAATTTCAGTAGTTTTACTTGTTCCTAACAGGTTTATATCCTCAAATATGTCCTTGTGCAGTTAGCATTTTCACTTTGATCTTCTAGGCGGATGGCAGGGAACACAAGTTTGGGAGAGAATTATGCCTTTGCTGGGATGTATCACATCTTTGATCAGCATGCAGAAAGTGGTTAGATTTAATGCCTCTAAAATACCATCTTGAATTTGAACTGACAGCCCTGGATTTCTCTGTAACTGGAATTTACATTTTGTTGGACTTTTGTTCTTAGGAGTACAAATTTTGTTCACATGATTATGAATTTAGCTTTGTCACTTCTTGGTTATGTTACATTGGGTTTACTGATTGTTTTGATTTTTCTTTCTAATTTCCTCCTAAATTAATCCAATAAATTCTGACCGAGAGATCTTGTATTGTTGTTGGGTCACAGACACTCCATAATTCTAATTCGAACATAGCTGGGCTGTGAATTATATCTTTGCTATGTTGTGGTGCTTTTCTGCACAATCTTGGCTTGTATCTTTAATTGTAACAAAAAAGTGATGCTTCCAGACCTCTGGCAACTGATTGATTCCAATTTCTAGGAATGCAAACCAACCAATATCTCAATCTGTATAAGAAAAATGTTTTCAAGGTTCATTTTTTAATAAAATACGGTATAATTTGTTTATTTATAGTCACGGCAATCAAATTTGCCAATGATGACAAGTATCGCTTGGCATGTAGTTCTGCTGATGGGACGCTGTCTGTCTGTGCTCTTGTTCCGTCCCCTCCTTCTGTTACTTGTACACTGAGAGGGCACACAGCATCTGTAACAGGTAATTATTACACGACTCAGGCTGTCAGAGGGCCAATAACTAAAATCAACCGATCAAATTGCTCTATTGCCGGTCAATATTCTCTCAGTATTGGAACGGGCACTGTCCCGGATGGTCCCGAATGATACCGCACTTGTGTCCCTTTGCACTTCAGTTGTATAATAAATCTCTTATTAACCAAGCTTGCTCGGGACCGTACTGGAAGAATATCGGCCCTCGGTCTTTTTTGTACGGACCTCGCTGCACTTGGTCCGTACTAGCTGTCAAGACCTTGGGCCAATCTTCTCCCAGTATGGCCCTCATGCTTGGTAAATAAGATATCTGTAAAAGCTAATTCAAAAGTTGATAACCATTTGGCAACTGGACAATGTCAACTTCCATGGCTGATAAATTGAAAAATCAACCCTAGCTGTACATGTAGCTTGAACTTTGAGGAAAGTTCAAGGTAGCTTGGTTTGCACTTACTGGCCTTGTGAATAGTTCTCACCCCAGCCACCACAGTGCCTAGATAATATGCATTTATCTTACCTTAAGTAGCAATTGCTCGATTTCTGGTTGAAAGGGTAAAGTCTAAGACCTGGGCAGGTCTTGTGTTCTACTCCTATGCAGAAAATTTTAAATGGTCGCTGTGCCTTTCTCCCTTAGGGGTATGCATGATTACACACTCTGCCTATACTGTCAGGGAAAACTTGCAAAGTGCTTGGGGGTAACCAACAAAATAAATCAAATTCCACATCATGTTTCTCAAACTTTTCATTTTGAGGTGTCTTCCTGAAGATCCATAACGTGATTGCTTCAGCAAAATACACATTTGGCAAGACAGATCTTGAACTCCAGTGACAGTCTGCCTGTTTTTGCAGGCCTCTGACAACATATCTGTTTTTTCTTTAGACTTTGATTGGTCAATAACCAATGACTTTATACTCTCTGCATCTTTGGATGGTACAGCAAGGGTGTGGAATCCTGCTTCTGGGCAGTGTCCGCGAGTTGTGAATGACAGTCATTCCTGTGGTTTGACAGCTTGCAGATTTCAACCTGTGAATAACAACATGCTTCTTGTATCCTCTTAAAAGAATTAACTGAATCTAAAGGATGCATTAATTAAGAGAAATTTATCAATATGCAATTGGCCAATGGGCAAGGGCTCAACTTGAGTGCTACAGAAGAAATCAATGCCCTATGGTAATGATTAGTCAATAATTGTAAATAGGGCTTAACCAGGGTTGTCGTCTAGCATAGCGGTGTGGTCCCTGGCAGCTAACTTTTGCTCTTGGGTGACTCAGGAATCTTAGGTTTTTCATAAAAAGCATAATTATGCTGGGTACCATGGATTTCACAGCTTCAGAGCACTGGGCTCCCTTTAATTTTTCTTAGAGCACAGCCTTGTTAACCGTTAATGTTTATTCTCTATATACTATTATCTTTACGTTCCCTCTGCTACTTACAGGGAGAGTCTGTTTAACAATCCAGAAGTTCTTTAGTTGGTGATCATTTTCTTTTCTCTCATGACTTTTAAATACCGGTAATGTTTTATACCTTATCCTTACCCTAGTCCCTGAGAGTGATGAGCATCTAAATTCTCCTGACAGTATCACCCCTGAATCAAACATTAAGGTCAGGAGAATAAAGGAAATGATCACCAACTTAAGAAGCTCTTGATTCTTTAACAAATTCACCTTGTCAGGACCTTAGGAAATGTATAGAGTACAGTATGGAGAATATGATGTAAGGAGTGAAGGTGTTGTCTGATCATCCGGGTGAGTGTAGTACTGAGAAGGACTGTTGTCAGGGCTACACTCACCTGGATGATCAGACTACACCTTCACATGTTACCCCTGGGTTCAAGCCATTTACTGCATGATATAAGGATGTAAACGGTTACAGAGGTAATCTAGGTTATAGCCTTAAGGCCAAAGGGAACCCCTTGGTGCCTAATCAGAGTCAACCAAAGTAACACCTAGATCACTGTAGAAGAGAGGTTTTGCACAGCAGTCATGTTGGATGGCAGGAACAATGAAAATATTTTTGCATGAGAAAGAAATTTTTTTCCCATGGGTAAAATAATCTATAGTTCCTGCCATCCAACATGGCTGCTGTGCAAAACCTCTATTGTATCATACTGTTAATCCTTAATCCGTAACAAAGACCGGAAATCAGAAGGGTCACCTCAGTGTTTTTAATATGTCCACTGGCAAAGGTTTCAAGGTACAGTGCACAGCATATATTAATTTTATGTTTTCACAGACTTTCTCTTAACTAGTAGGAGAAGAAAAAACGTATTGTTAGAGCTCCTCTGCTTCTAATTATCTGATTTTGATTCATTAACTTTTGATGGTTGCCTCTAAGAATGGAAAGACCTCTGAGTTGACATATGATCATGTCAGAAAGCTGTGTATAGCTGCAACATATACAATTACATGATACACCATAATACTATTGTCGCGTTACAGGCATAGGACAGCACAGGACGTCCACGTCCTGTTAGGTGAATGACTGGTCTTGGATTAGTTTGGTAAAGGTCTTGATATAGTTGTTGGACTAATGAGTGTGGGGTGAAAAGTATGCAGCCAAATTCGCATCCCTTGAGAGTGGAGAATTAATGTACCTCACTCAGTGAAACATAAAAAGTTTGTTATAGGTCTGATAGGACTAGTAAGTTGTATTTTTATGTCTTCTTCTCCTAGGGCGGCAGTGCTAAAGTTTCAGCTGGGGTTAAGTCTGTCGAGTTTGACTCATCTGGTGTTCTTGTCTGGGTGGGAGATGAAAAGGTATATGAACTACTCTGTCATCGATTAGACGCCATTTTATTTTGTACTTTTTCTTTTGGATGACATGGTGGCCTCATTTTGATGCTCCTACTTCCAGAACTTTGGGCGTGTTTCAAAGCCAACACAGAAGACGTTTCCAGAGGATAAGCGTGTAAATGGGTGAATTAGATTGAAAAGGTCGCGTTTTTCTGGATTAGCATCTGATCAATTAATAGAGTGAGGCGATTTTTACAGCCTATTCCCAAAACGTGACCAGGACAATTATATGGAATCCCAGATAAGTTTTAAGTAAAAGTTGCCAGATAGTGATAGACAATGCACGTCGTGAGGTATCGTAGATCAAATGCTCTCTGGCTTCCCGTTAATCTCTATCGTCTCAACTTATTTGAATTTTTTTATTTGATATATTTATATTTTAGGGGAGCATACACGCGTTCTGTTTTGATGTGGCCTCTGGGCGACTTCATAAAGCCAAGCGGTGAGTTATAAAAGAGATTTTATTTAAGTTAGCATATAGGTTATGAGATTCGTTTTGTTTTGAGATGTTTTTGATTTATATAGTAGATAACTTAGGCTATATTTGAATTATATTGTATATTGTAGATATTTTATATTACATATTTTTATATTTTATATTGTAATTAGGTAGCGCTTTGGACAATTATTGGATTTTAGCGCTATATAAATAAAATTATTATTATTATTATTATTAAAAGAGATTTCCTCCCAGATCTATCCATTTGCTATCTGCATACCAGCCATAAGTGCAGTAATTTTGAAAAACAAAGCAAACAAAGCACAGCAAGACCCCGCTGAAATAAGTCTCCGTGTCTCTCTTACAGAATGTCTATAGCAGAGGGTAGTCCTGTGACTTCAATCTCATATCGCAGCTGGATGAATCGTGAGGCTAGGGACCCTGTGCTACTTGTCAATGTGGCCATAAATTTACTTTGCCTCTATGGGTAAGATTTGCAAAAACACTGATATTCAAATACACCTCATGGTAACATGAAACCACAGGATGATATTGACAAGACATGAAACACTTCAATAGTGCATTTTTTAGATTCGCCGTCGAACATAAGGCTCGTCATGTAAGGAGCTCATTTTGTCCTCTGATGTCTTTCAGACAAGGCGCTTGTGTAGGTATGTATAACTTCGATCATTCGACAAGCTGAGGATGATTTTGTGTACATTAGAATAAGAAAGATGGTACATTTGAGGTCGGCCGTTTAGTAAAGCAAAGTTTTACAGAAAGGTTTTAAACATTTGCTCATTCACGGTCTGCAATCGACAATCTTAATCCTGATTTTGTTGCCGAAGCCGAATATTCCACAGGTGCACGTCATTGAAATATACTGGTAAGAATTTTCTTCTGATGGCCTTCTCGTTGGTTTAATAACCTTCCTTTCTCAAGATCAAAGGATCAGTTCTCCAAACTGACTGCCAGTGTTTTCTTACAATTTTGGACTTGAGAATTTGATGTTAAATAAAACACAGAGTCCTACTGTAGTGGACTGAAGATTTATTACAATCTCATTATTGTTTGATCTCTACCTAGTGAGTGCCAGCGAAGACATGGCAGTTTATTTCTTCGATGTTGAGCGCGCCGAAAAGCCTTGTGTGAATAAACTGTTAGGTCACTCGGCACCAGTCCTTGATGTCTGTTGGAACTATGATGAGAGTCTGCTGGCATCCTGTGATACTGAGGTAGGAGAATGACGAGAACATCCCCAGCGGTAGGGGGAGGGGAAACAGGGGGGGGGGGACTGGTGAGGTAGCAATTTATTCTACCATAGGCACCGGTGCATCGAAACATTTGCTTTTCTTTAGTACGGGCAGGGTGATTGAAGCAGCCTTGCAGGCATTTTTAGTTCTTTTCATAATATACCTTATTACAAATTCCTACTTGAACTTAGTGTGACAATGCGTTTAGTTTGCGACTTGTTTAAGGAACTCTACATTTGGTTACGGTAGAAGTTGATTCATATGTTAAGCCGGTTAGTAAACCATCAATAAGTGATGAGCTTTTCTAAATGTAATTATTTCTCTAATTTTCTGTCTTCCAAAGGGAACTGTGATAGTGTGGAAGCGAGAGCAGCGGGAAAAGCACCTCCCGTGAAACACTAATGGAAAATGTTGGTGGGAAAAAGCTATTAATACTTAAAACAATGAATTGTAAAATTATTGATATCAGTCTTAGATAGGAAAATATCTACATGTGATTGATTTAGGATAGTTTGTTGTAATGATTAACTAAGACAACGGATTCTGCTACTTTAATTTGTCGTGAAAGGTTAATCGGTCATATATTAAACTCTCTAGAAACCTTTTTTATACTTTGTGGTCGATTCTATATGTGAATTTTTCTGACCACTGTTTGTTGTTATCGCTTCTTAATTTAGTCCTTTGATTCTCGTCCTATATACCCCGCATGTAATAGGTCCTTCAAGTTGGGCGTATTATAACCATAAAATTCATAACTTTATCTTCAAACTTCGCAAACTTCTTTTGCTTTTCGCCGCAAAACGTTTCATAAGGGGAGAAAAATACAAAACAGTCATATCTTGTACCTAGAAACAATCCAGCACTAGTTTTGGGCTCTTTTGCGTATAAATACGGTAATTGCCGGTATGTACGTGATATATTCATTTGCATTATTTACGAGTTAGCTGTGATGGAGTTGATTTTTTTCTTTGTTGGAGTAATTGTGAAGAATCTTTAAGGATTTGAGGAATTTCAAAACGCGATTGCTTTCAAGATGTTTAAGAACTTCTCCCGTCATTCGATTTTGAGAGAAAAAAAGAAAATTCCTAAACCTGTGGTAATTTTCAATCGTCAATTCAAGCTTGTTCAATGTTCGCTCATATAGAAATTTGACGGTCATCATTCAAAGATCATATGACTGGCTTCCAAAGGGGAAAAATGAATTAAAAGCAACGCCAGAAAAGAAAAAGAAAAGGTGTCTTTTTATTTTACCAAGGTTAACGACAAAGTCTGTAGAGCGGAGTAAAAACTGTGTTTTAAAGAACATTTTCATTGTCCGTTGATTGCATTCATTTTAATTAAAACCTTTATTCTTTTCCCTTGTATCTCATGTTCACCCCCAACCATATCCCATCATGTGCTAAAAGGATGTTTTAACTAATTTTCTTGATTTCTTAAAAAACAACTTTTTAGTATTCAGTGTTCTCCTTTTTTTACCACTTTCAGTACATGTACCTCTCATCACTTCCTAAAATCGCTTGGAATTGTTGAAAGTTCAACAGTTCAAGGGATTGCTTCACCAGTTTGAAAATGTCTTTTACTTGTCGTGCTTGAAATAGTACGCGTAGAACAATGAGCGCGCAATATGCAGCTAAAAGGAAAACATAATGCGTATAATACTTTGTTAGAAAAGGTTGGTTCTATTCTTTAGTCCTCCACAATAATTGATTCACCGTGTAGTTCCTACTGTATCTGTGTACCGTTTATAAAAATTTCATGAGAAGACAGCAGATACTAGGCATTAGCTTTCCCACGGAAGCTTATAACTGTTGAAACTTGCGTGAGTGCCGCTCAGTCTCTGGTGAAGATGTTAGGAGAGAGACACGAAAACACTGCAGTATGAGTACAAAGTGGCGACAGTTCGCATCAAATACAACAGTGCACGGTCTCCGCTATGTGTACGAAAGCCCTTCCAGAGTTATCCGCAGTGTGTGGTTGATTCTACTGTTAATATCAATAGCGTGTTATCTGTTCTTTGCACAACAGAGTATAGCCCGCTACTTTTCCCGTCCAATAAACGTCGAATACACTGAGGTTGTTCCGGAAAGTGGAAACCTAATTTTCCCTGCCATAACAATTTGTAATTTAAACCGTTTCGTCAAAAGGAAAATCTACACGCCTGACGACGAGAAAGACTTCCACAAATTGGGTCTAAATCTCCCTTCTTGCGCAGCCGTAAAGAAGGTCATCACAAACATGACTTGCGGACAAGCCTTACTGTGTGCCTACGAAAGGTACGGAGGAGAGGTTGTAGAGAACTGCAACAAAACCAAGCATCGAATTGTTGATGTTCTGAACAGCACTAAGGAGCCAATATTTGACCCGGAAAAGTTCTTGGGAGCTTACGGTCATGAATTTGAAGAAATGTTTACGTACTACTGTACCTTTGCAACGAAGGAGGAGTGTAAGTCATCAGATTTTTTTCCTAATTTGATCCAAGGTGGCCGCTGCTTCACCTTTAATTCTGGGGAAAACGGAACAATAGTCCGTAACACAAGTATCGAAGGATCTTCTGGCGGCCTTGCTGTCGTTTTGGACGTTCAAATGGATGAAGTTACTATCAGTGAATTTTCTCGAGGGTTGAGAGTGATTATTCACGAGCAAGGAGAGTATTTAAGCATGGACACTCATGGATTCAACGTTTTTCCTGGTTCGCATGCTTTGGTCCGTATGACCTCCGTACATGTAAGTTTTTAATTTAAAGTATTTACTTTCTTTCCTCGAACAATACTTTTGATTCACAGGCGTGACTCTGTGATTTGATCGGAGTTTTTTTGTTGAACAAGTCATTTTGTAGGTTGGATTGCGAGATTTGAAGTGGTCTGGAAATTGCTAGGAAAAGACTGAAATTTCAAAAGGAAAATTTATAAAAATAAAAAAGTTGTCAGATTTCATGTAGCCCGTGTTAGTACCAAGTCGAAGTGTGAGCTCTCTATATAAATGCAACAACAAACAGTGAACAAACACCAGTAAAAAACTAACACAATAAAATGAAGCTAAAGCTGAGTCTTGTCTTTTCCTGTCTTCTATTTGGCAGGGACATCGTCTCAAATCTCCATACAAATCCAACTGCACAGAGCGAGTACTTCCTGGAATACCACACTACAGTAGCGAGGCCTGCATCACACAGTGTTTTGCCAACAAGACTGTGGAAATATGCGGATGTAGGCTGGCTGGAGTACCACGTAAGTTGAACGGAACAAGTCACTAAATGCAAACATGCAAAATAATGCCCTTGAATTAGCGAGTTCATCACTACAGTACCATAATGATGATGAAACAAATAAAATTTGTTATAATATTAAATCATTTGCTTTCCTGTGATTTCTGTTCAACATACACAGTTGCTTTAAAGGCCCCAGTCTGCACGTTTCAACACCAGTACTGTTTGGACAAGACAAGAGGTTTGTGTCGGTTTTTTCTTTTTTTTGTTTTTTTTTAACAGCTATGCTAGTCTGTGCTACAAACCCTCAAAACAAAAGGTTACTTTTGGAGTTACTTATCACTGCTCTTTTTTTCACGGGTTGGTGGGTCGTAACTGTCCCCAAAAGCAGGTTTGTGCAAGAAGCCTAGCATTCCCTGTTAGTTAAGTGGTGATATTAGGTGTGAAAAAATATCGATATTAGAAAACAGATAAATTTATTAACATTTAGTTAATGGAAAGGAAACAAAAGTTTCAGGGTCATAATTTAAGCCTTTGAATAATTGCAATGGTGCATGGTTGAGATTGACTGTACAGCTATATGCGCAAGTATATACTTCTTATAAATAAAATAAGAAAGATGGTACATTTGAGGTCGGCCGTTTAGTAAAGCAAAGTTTTACAGAAAGGTTTTAAACATTTGCTCATTCACGGTCTGCAATCGACAATCTTAATCCTGATTTTGTTGCCGAAGCCGAATATTCCACAGGTGCACGTCATTGAAATATACTGGTAAGAATTTTCTTCTGATGGCCTTCTCGTTGGTTTAATAACCTTCCTTTCTCAAGATCAAAGGATCAGTTCTCCAAACTGACTGCCAGTGTTTTCTTACAATTTTGGACTTGAGAATTTGATGTTAAATAAAACACAGAGTCCTACTGTAGTGGACTGAAGATTTATTACAATCTCATTATTGTTTGATCTCTACCTAGTGAGTGCCAGCGAAGACATGGCAGTTTATTTCTTCGATGTTGAGCGCGCCGAAAAGCCTTGTGTGAATAAACTGTTAGGTCACTCGGCACCAGTCCTTGATGTCTGTTGGAACTATGATGAGAGTCTGCTGGCATCCTGTGATACTGAGGTAGGAGAATGACGAGAACATCCCCAGCGGTAGGGGGAGGGGAAACAG